ATATTTAAAAAAATATAAAAATGTATTTAAAAAGAACAGCTAGTATGCTGATGTCTTGTGTACTCAAGTTACTATGGGGTATATTTATGCTAATATCCCCTTGTTATTGAGTATTTTTTTTTTTTTTTTGTCCTTTAAACAAGCTTGGCCATTTCAGTGTTGTAGCCATGCTTAGCTTTATACTCTGGATTTTTGTATACATTATCCATTTTAAATCTACTACTTTGTGTAAATGTGAAGTCTTACGTTTTCACTTTTAGCTCCTTAACTCCTCTGTTTCTTCAATGTAGTCTGAATTATTTCTGACTTCCTTTCAATTTATTCTGTTCAGGTAAGTAATTAATCTTAGGTTTTTTAATAGAGTATCCGATCCCACTCTCTACGCTTTTGGGTAGAATTTTAGTAGATGAACTTTGGGCTGAAGTGAATGCCATTTAACAGCAAGTTTCTTTTCTCACTTTAATATATCTGATTTTTTTTTTTCTAGTGCATTCCCTTTTGGCCTGAAAATGATGCCAACAAACTGCTTGTTAGAGTTGAAAATTCTGATCTCCCCCCAAAGAAGATAAATTTTGATAAGCAAGAAAACTGTCTGCTGCTGCATTTGGACAACAAGGTAAATGGCTGCCTTTGAAAATTAAGTAAAAAAACCATAAACAACTGTTTCGTTTCCATTCTCAAAACTTTCTGTCTTCCCATACAATCAAGTATTGCAAAACCTTAGCTGGGGAAAAGATTATGTTTATGCAAGTGTATTATCCTCATTCTCATGCTCTCTGCTGTGTGGGTAGGTGTTTTGTTTTCCTGCCTCTCTGCGAAGCACATCTGTAGAAGCTAACACAGAGATTGATTTGCTAGTGTTTTGCATGTTACCTAATTGTTAGATCAGTGAAATACTTTAAAGATACGTTAAAACAGGTTGTTTGTTTGACTATTTGATGGTTTTATGATAGCGAAAGTTTTCCAAAATACTTAAATTACATTTGCTTTACTAGAAATTCATTCCACTGTTATTTACTTCATAATTTTTACATCTGATAGCTTGGAGGAATTACAGTGGATGTTAACCTGACTGAACATTCTACGGTGATTACCTTTTCTAATTACCATGACGGCGCAGCTCCATTTCTGTTGATAAACCATACTAAAGAGGAAATTATTGAGTATGGACAAAGGTATGTAAGAAGAGTTTTAGTGTGGATGTCTGCATGGAGACATGTGAACTGTTACTTTATGTAGTGTAAACATGGCTATTTCTTAAGAAGCCTATTTTTTAAGAAATGGCTAATTTTTTCCCAAAAATATCTGGTTTACAAATTGAAGAGAATGAATTGTTAACAGAGCAGCATTATGTAGTGCTAAGTGCTTGTTTCTACAAGTAAAAAAACTGTTTTGTGAGCAAAAACTAATTTTGTGGCCTTGCCCTTTACATTGCTGGTGGGGGGCAAAGGATGTGCTTGGCTTTTCCAGAACTGTGAAAAGTAACAAAAGAGTTGTAAATGAGTCTCAAATGTAGATTTGAGACTTTGAGTGTTCTGTCATAATTAGTTGAAATTTAGCTGAAAGTGTTAAAAATTTATGGGATGAGATGAGGGAATGGGCTGAAAAATGGGTAGGTAATTATATAAATTTTGTCAAGTCAGGTCAAAACTATTTTAACAAATATGAATTATCTGCAATCAGTGAACATTTGCTTCTGCATCTGCATGTAGCTATACTGGTGCCTGTTCTGAAGCTGAAATGTCTTTGTAATGCTTTGCTTCTGTATGCAGATACTGTGCAGAGCTGAGAAGTGTAAGCATATGTACAGCATTCTTGACCTGTTTCTTTTGAAAAGCTGAGCAGCCTTTACCATTTTTTCCTTTCAGTCAATTAGAGCAGTGTTGTTTAAAGCTTTTTTTACTTGAAAAGTGAAAGAGCTGCTAGTCAAATTAAGCTTGCAGCTGTATGTTCCTATTTGTGTGAATACTACAGTCAATTGTTGGCTTCAGTTTTTATCTGTAAAGGTTATTAATTTTTAGCTTTTTTAGCTGGTTCTTGGGCATCCCTAGTGTAAAACTAGTAAGTATATATGTAACTTTTGTAACGAACTATGGAGAGTGGAATAGAATATTTCAGTTGGAAGGAACCTACAGTGTTCATCTAGTCCAGCTGCCTGACCACTTCAGGGCTGACAAAAAGTTAAAAGCATGGTATTAAGGTCATTGTTGAGACGCCTCTTAAACACCGACAGGCTTGGGACATTGACCACCTCTCTAGGAAGCCTGTTCCAGTGTTTGACCACCCTCTCAGTAAAGAAATGGTTCCTCATGTCCAGTCTAAACATCCCCTGGTGCAGCTTTGAACCTTCCTATGTGTCCTGTCACTGGATCCCAGGAAGAAGAGATCAGCACCTCCCTCTCCACTTCCCCTCCTGGGTGTAGGCTCCTTTCAGCTGTAGAAGACAAGTCTGCCAGCTTTTAACTGTATGTGAGGAGGAGTGCAGTTTAGAATGTGTTGGTCTGAAAATATCCACTATATCGAGATACTAAACACTGCACTTTTTTCCCTTAAGCAAATCATATAGGGGAAACTTTTCCTAAACAATGTGTTTCTAACACACTTTTCTTCTCTTGGAATATTAGAATTAGGCAGCAAAAATCCTGAATTTTCCTTTCAGCTTGTAAGCTCCATTGTGTCTGGGTTTTTTTCTCTAGTTAATATTTCCCTGCTAATCACAAATGGGGAAGAGAGTGAGTGTTCAAAATCTACTGGTATACTTTATTTATAAGCATTTTGAAGTATAAATACTGTTTTTATTATTGTGCTGAGAATGGTTTTATGTATATTTTTTCATGCACAATGCTGTTTTAAGTTTGCATTTTCATTATTTGAAAAAATAATCAGTGTTCTTGTTGAAATGCTAGAATGCAAAAGTTATTGACACAAAAGATTCATTGATATTTTAATTTAATATTACTTTGTTTTAGCTCCCTCAGTGAATTAGAAGACTGTCTTCAGCCAAATAAGGCAGTACTGTATACTTGGGCAGACCCAGCGGGATCTAGAAAATTGAAATGGAAATGTGGAAACAGAACTGAGGAAATTACCCCAAAAGAGGTAGATTTATTATCTAAATCTCCCTTTAAGGTTTTCTAATCTATTATCCTGTTCATCAGTGTGTGTATGAAATTCTGTATGTAATGAATACGATCAGCAATCTTATATCTGAGGTTCAAACACAGAACAGTAACAATACTGTTTTCTGGAGCTTGTGCCAGTAAACATTGTTTTTCAGTTCAAAAGTGTGTGTGTGAGAGAGACTGTTGTAAAACTTCATAATTAAAAATTTTATTATTTTCCTGTCCTTTTAAAAAATGTCTTCTATTGTTGTTTGTGTTGCTAAGATTTTGCATTTGCTGTTGGAGTAGTGATGAATGGAATTCCAAAAATTTTTTCTCTCTTGTTCGTAGGACAAAATGGAAATACTCAGCCTGGATTGTAGAAAAGTGGTCTATTTAGTGTCATTTTTTGAAGGTTTGCAGCGTATTGTCCTGATCACTGAAGATGAGAATGTCTTTAAATTAACATATGAAAGTGTAAAAGCAGAACTAGCAGAACAAGAAATTGTTCTGTCTTTGCAAGATGTTGGAATTTCATTGGTTAATAATTATACAAAGCAAGAGGTGTCCTACATCGGAATTACAAGGTAACTGATTTTGTGTGCAACAGTCTAAAATGTTTACCTTTAGGTATTTTCACTCACTGAATTTCATTTTGGGGTGTGATGGAAGAGGAAAACCAGGATTGGGTAAGAGTATTTAGAACTAAACCATTGTATTTTCCTGTTGTAAACAAATATTTTCACTGTGTCTTATATGTCTTAATGCATATGCTTTCTGTATTTGGATGTATGTGGTCTTGCTACACATAATTGTAACTCTATGTGGCCAACTTCCCAATACATTGAACGGAAGTGTTTCCCATCCATGTAGTTTGGGGAGTGATAGTAAGAATTTTAAGGAGTGAAGTCTGTGGGTAGTTAGTGGATTTTCTATCTTCATTACAGAAACAAGTTGCTGAATTCTGTGCTGAAAATTTTGATGCAGTAGCAGCTTGTAGTTCTTTTTAGTTTTGGTTGAGAAATTATGGCAACTCCAAGGCTCTGATAGGTTTTCTACTATAACATTTCAGGGGGAAGCAGCAAAGAAACTATATAATGCTCTAGAAATGTGTGCTATCATATATTCAAACAGAGGCTTTTTAGAAAGCTCAAGGGACGCTTGTATACCATTGCCATAATGCACAGACTTCAGATATTCTTCGCCATGGGGTTGCTAGAATGAGGGTTTTTTCTCTTGATTAATTTTTTGCACCACACTGCAAAACAAGCTAAAACTTCACATACACATATACTGCACATATTCACATCTATCATTCTCAAAGAAAATCCCAATCCTTGCCCTCACCTGAGAAGCTGAGCTCTGATAACTATCTAGACAGTGGAAGGACTCCATTAAAAGTGGCAGCTAATTGCCTAGATTCAAAGTCGTGTTGAGATTTCACTGTTATCGGTGGTTTTTTGGAAGCAGCAATCATCAGTGGTCTAGCAGTCCTTATAGTTGGTATTGTTTTCTTGTTAAACCCTGAGGGGATGTCAAACTCCTGAAATCTGTTTCTGAGGATAAGAGATTATTCCTTGGGAATGGTGAAGAAAACCATGTTATTCAGAATGTTCCCATTTGTGAATGTTTTGTTATAAAAAGAATGGAAAAGGGAGCAGTTTTTTGGTGGTTCTGCCATCGATGTATCTGAACAGAGACAGAGATGTCGCTAAAAGGGATTGGATTAGGGGACTGTGTCTGGAAAGCTCTGTATTTGTGGGCTATAGAGTAATTTGTGGAAAGAAGAAATACCTTCCACCTGTTGTCTGGTGTTGGTTTGTGCCCTATCATGTGCTTTCGGTTTGACTGAAAGGTGAAGCCAGATATGAGAGCTTCTCAGAGAAGCAGAAGAGAGTTCAATGCTTTTAAGGATGATTAATTATTTTGTTGTTTTATTAATAACAAGAGACAAAAGAAAAGGAGTGATTTTGGGACATGATTTAAAAAACAACAACAAAACAAAAATCCCCAACCCCCTCCCCCCATAAAATCCATAAAGGACACTTGTAAACCAAAATCACCATCTATTGATTTAAACAGAATGAAGAAACTAGCTGTCAAAAAGAAGAGGCAGTTCAGAAGGCATTTTGTCTTGAAGTTCTCACTTTCTAGTAAATTCAGCTATACCAAAATACATGCAGGAGTATATGCATAAAACTATATTGAGATTGTAGAATAATGGATGGCAGTACTGTTGAAACTAAGCTCCCTGATTAAGTATCCTTACATACTCTTCATCAAAGTGGGGAGATGCACAAACTTGCTGTTAACTTTTCTTTTTTGCATTACATTGGAGAGACTTGCTTCCACTTAGTGCCAAGAAGGCAGTGGGTGATTTGGGTTACTTTTATTTACTGCAATAGTGCTTTATGATGTGGTTTCTCATTCCGTAGCTATAGTCTGTTAAAACTAGTATTTAAAACTTGTTTTGAAATACCTAATCCTTCTGTCTTGGTCCTTTATTTTGTTTTCAAAGTTCTGATGTGGTTTGGGAGACAAAACCCAAGAAGAAGTCAAGATGGAGACCAATGAGTGTTAAGCAGACTGATAAATTAGAACAAGAATTCAAAGATTACTGTGAGCTAACTCCTTCAGAAAATAAGATAATTGAGTTGGAATCAAATGTTTTGGTAATACTGATAGTTCTCTAATTCTGTTGTTTACATGTATACACAGAAAAAAGACAATTATCAATTTTGCTATCTTTGAAGAAATTTCCAGTGAAAATGGAGGTGATTGATTTACTTAATCAATTTGAAAACCCTTCTTTATCTCTAGCTAGAAAAAAATCTTTGGAAAAAAATCCATAAATGTTTGAAAGCTTGCGTATAGACTTTTTTTGTTGTTAGCCTCTAACTTTGAAGTTAAAGTGTAACATTTTTGCAGGTCATGGGACTAAATATGCATGAAGCTACAGTAAAGAAGCTTTGCATTTGGTTCATTATACTGCGGAGGTGGGCAGGGTGTTACTTTGGGTTGGTTGGTTTGTTTGTTTTAGCACAAAATCTTGCATGTTTTAAGTACCTTATTGAGGGATAATTTAACTGTGTCATTCAACCACATACATATGAAAAATTATTCCAGAAATTATTCTGGAATGTAGAAGCACATTATGCTCCAATGCTGCTGTCCTTGTCTGTAGATAAATTCTAGATACTCATTAGAATTGTTTAATTCTAATTCTAATCTGGAATTGTAGGTAAATGAGCAAGTTACAGGTAAATGAGTCAATTTGTATCTCAGTCGTAGATGGTTACATTATACTACTCTGCCTTTCCTCTAGAAAGCATATATTAAACACTAGTAATCCCAGAAATAATGCAATATTTTGTAGTTTTATTTCTATTGAAATTTATGACAAAACTTGATTTTTTAAAAATAAAGTTATGACATCTGACTTAAAAGCTGCAAAACTTTTATTGCTAAGCTATCTTCACAATGTTAATGAACAGTGTAAATTTTAAAGATATTATAAAAAGCGGTCTGTTGAAACACATAGCATACCAAATTTTCTTTAATAATACAATAGGTATGTTTAACTCCTAATGGAATGAACATGAAAATTCAACAACCAAATGAGATTCCTATCAGAAGGAATTATCTGCCAGCTTTAAAAGTAGAATACAATTCTTCTGCACATCAGAAGTCTTTCAGAATTCAAATTTACAGGATACAGGTGAGTCTTGTCAAAAAACAGTGATTTATTAAGAAAAAGCAACTTTTACTGGATTTATTTTTAGAATTGTTCGGATTTGTCATGTTTTGAATTTAATTGTAGTCATTGGCTTTTACGTCAGTGCTTCTCAATCTTTGGAAATACTACTTAAATTCTTCTGGAAAAAAAACCCAGACAACTATGATTGTTCAGGAAAAACATTTACCATTTATCGTCCATGTTTTTTCTTGTGGTTTTTCTTTACAACCATCAAAAATAGGTACAATCTGTTGTCCTGCATATGTTCCAAGTTTTTAAAAACAAATCCTTTACAAAAATGCTGTGAACTATTTATTACCACCAATTTAGAGAAGCTTTTCTAGAATATTTGGATTGGATTATTTCATTTTGAGATATTTTGAACCACAATAGTGGCTTTTTTGATGCTTTTGATTTTGTGGAATGCTACAAGTAACGTTCATAATTCTTGAGTTTGTCCTGATTTTTAAATATTTTATAATTGAAAAGCTAACATACTGCGCCTTGTCCTGTCCTTACCCCTATTAGATACAAAACCAGATTCCTGGAGCCATATTTCCCTTTGTGTTCTATCCTATTAAACCTCCAAAGTCCATCACCTTGGATTCAGGTTTGTTAGTTTAATATAATCCTTACTTCTAAAATGACAAGATAACTTGCTTGTACTGAAGTCAGCCATGGCACTTTTATCAGATGAAGTCTGTATAAGCTTACTGACTACAGATAACACAAATACTAATCTTGGAGATAGGGAAGCAATTTCCTCTACAAAGAAGTTATACAGAAACCCATTTAAACAGTTAACAGTCAGAAGAAAACAAAATTTCTTTTATCTGTTGATATTATACCTTTTAAGCACATCTTTTTGACACACTAATTCAGTGCTCTTGGGGAGTCTAACGTGAAAGTTACATTTGGATCAAGCTTAAAATGGGCTTTTGGCAGTTATGTTCAGACCACAGCTAAAACTTCATGCTGACTAATATAGACAAGT